CACTAAGCACTTTGGTTTATCACTTCATTTAATCCTGATACATTTATGACAATATGCCACTATTATTCTCATTTTGTCTAGTGGAGAAACAGAGGCACAAACAGTTAGGATACAGAATAAGTGAGGAAGACCCGATTTCATCCCAGGAGCTCTGATTCTAGAGCCATTTTTAACACACTGCCACAGCCAAGCAAATACTTAAAAAGAAGAATGAGAGATAAATAACATTAATAAACATTAAAGTTATTTTACAATATAGTAATTAAAACGGGGGGCATTTTTTTCTGGATGGAGAGATGAGTAGACTAATCATTACTATTAGACCATAATTACTAAGTAGTATTAACATGCTGTGTTTGTTTTCTCTTCTATAAAATGAGAGCAATAACAGTACTTGCCTCATAGAGTGGTTGTGAAGAATAAGTGAGTGTATACATACACACACATATAACTTAAAAGTGAAAAAATATTTGTTGTCATTAGCAGTATTAAAATAAAAGAGAAAAGCATGGAAACCAACCCTACTGTGGATCAGAATATAGTATCTGATTACAGTGATGGAGGGGAAAGGATGGACTGTTAAATAAATGGTGCTGGCATAGTTTGGTGCAGTATATAGAAAACAGAAATTTTGATGTATCTTTTTAAAAAAAATCTACATCCAAACAGTAAAAATAATACCAGACATAGAGGGTAACTATTTTCTAAATCCATGATATTGTTAGAAGAAAATTTTTTTTTTTAAAGATTGGCACCTGAGTTAACAACTGTTGCCAATCTTCTTTTTTTTGTTTTTCTTCTTTTTCCCTTTTTTTCCCTCTTTTTCTCCCCAAATCCCCCCAGTACATAGTTGTATATTTTAGTTGTGGGTCCTTCTAGTTGTGGCATGTGGAACGCTGCCTCAGCATGGCATGATGAGCGGTGCCATGTCTGCGCCCAGGATCCGAACCAGTGAAACCCTGGGCCGCCGAAGCGGAGCGCCTGAACTTAACCACTTCGCCACGGGGCCGGCCCCATAAATTTTTGATTAATAGTTAAATAAATGTATGTGGAGAAGACTGTAATAAGCATACCATCAAGGGCAGAAACTATAAATTAAAAGATGGAAAGATCTGACTACCTAAAAATTTATAATTCCTTTTGTAAAAACAAAGAACACTGTATAAATGAACTGTATAAATGATCAATGGCATAGTATACTTGAGTGGGGAAACTTTATGCAACATATGTAACAAAAGTTAATGTTCTTAATATGTAAAGAGCTCATATGAAATAATATAGAATTGGACCATTAATAATAGAGAAATGAACCAAATAATGTGTAATCTTCCAGAAAGAATTACAAATGACCAAGAGACATAGGAAAAGATTCCAAACTTCACTAGTAATCAAAAAAATGCAAATATAAATTGAGATTCCAGTTTTCACTTGTAAATTTTGGGTAATTATAGAAGATAGTCCAAGGACAAATACAATAATATACAAATAACCACAATAGAAGACAAATAACTGACTTACAAAGTATTTTCTTGGATCAGAAGAAAGAGAGAGACCTCATCTCCGTTGTGATATCAGGACGTAGTGGTTTGAGACTCTGAATAATGGGCATAATATTGACAAGAAGTGGGAAATGAGGGAAAGTTTATTGCCCTCTCTTCTGAGAAGTTCGGTCATGGGAGGGAAGAAAGATAAGTAACTATAGATTGGGTTTTGTCCTGGTCAAGGGATGTGGTTTTAAAATCAAGGAGTCCTGAGAATCCTTGGAGACAGGAATGGGCCAGTGGAGAAGGAGAAATTGAAGCTGTTAATATAGAGAGGTAAAGTTGAAGCAGCAAGATCCGTAGGGAAATCAGAAGCAAGGAGGCAAGAATACTTCTCAGAAATAGAAGAAAAGAAGTAGATGTACGAAGATTTTTAAATTTTTAAGCATGGAGGAGAACTGAGAAAGCTGATTGTTCTCACTCAGTTGCATTAATCTTAGTGAGGTAGTGACTGGTAAGAGATTCAGTGCTCGTGGGACAAGGAGAGTGGAAAAAGGTTTGTAAAAGCTGCTTTGGGATCATGTTGGGGACCAATAAGCGATGAAAACAGATACTGCAGGCCTTGACTGAGGGCCTGGCTGAGACTCCACAGCGTGGATTTCTGTGCGAAGTGGAGTGCGGGAGTTATTCAGAGTGAGGGAGAGCAGGGGGACAAGAGAGTCTAGCGAGGTGGCGAGTGTGCCACTGACATAACTGTGTGGCATACAGAGGTGAAGCTAGGAAGAGTGAATTGGGAGGAAAGGTCTCTGACACGTGGAAATGTACGCTTTTATATAGAAAAACTTGTTGAAACTGAGAGTCAGGAGTCTTCCTTGGTTTTGGAAATGTTCTATGAAAATGATTGAGTTTAGATAAGAGATTTAGGTTGGACATACAGAATAGGTAATCTACAAGAAGGTGTGGGTTTAAGTCTTAAGGAGACAGACTTCACCGTGAAGAGGTAGGGCCTCCGTGGACTTTAAAAAACCAGACCTCTGCCCTGCAGCTTTGTATTAACTGCTGGTTTGCAATGCAGTGTAGCGCCTAAAGGCTATTCAGTCTTTTCACTAGTTTATTATTCTGGTTAATTTTTATAAAACCTTTCTATTGTATGGGACCTTATTTTTAGTCTTGGAACTTGGTGTTTGTTACTCAAAGGTATATGCTTAAAGGTATATATAATAATCTGTAGTATGATAGGAAAGAATCATTTATAAACTCAAAGCTTACTTGAACTGTCAGACTGCCATATCATCAGGCAGATCTGAGTGCCAGTCTCCCCTCTCCAGTTTACCAGGTGCCCAAGGCTTCCCTCATCTATAAAACTGTACCTTGATATTAAATGAGAAAATATATAAAATACATTCATCCAACAAATATTTGTTGAGCACTTGTATGTACTATGGGAATATAATGAGTTTAATTTTGGACCTTCCCGTTTGAAGTACATTCAGATAAAATTATCCAGCTGGCCATGGGATATACAAGTCTGAATTTCACAGAAGCAGACTAGAAATGCACATTTGGGAGTCAGTGTATATAGCTGGTGATTCAAACCATGAGTATGATTGAGATTCCATCAGGATACACACAGACACACACACACACACACCCATTTGCAGTAGGCCAAGGACAGAGTCATGGGAAACACCAATGTTTAAGTGGTAAGGATTCCACAAGGGAAAAAGAATAAATGCTCAGAGGTTTAGGAGAAGGCGTAGAAAAGTATGATATCACAGAAGTCTAGAGAATGAAGTTTCAAGAAAAAAGACAAACAGAAGTAGTGGCCAGGCAGCAAAGAACTCTAATAAATTAAGGATTGAGAACAGTGTTCATTGGATTTTCAGTCAGGAAATACTTTAACTTTAGAACAGTGATTCCAGTAGAGTTGTGAGGGCAGAAGGTAAACTATACGGGATTGAGAAGTAAATAAGAGATCAACTGTGAACTATTATTTCAGGTACATTAAATGGAAAGGATAGAAAAAAACATGGGATCAAGAGAGAACTTTCTCTCTTTAATCAGAGATTCAAACTCAGTTATCAGATAAGAGGAGGAACTTGTTGATAAAAAGGAGTTGTAAATACAAGAGAGGAGCTGGTTGAGAAGGAAGGGGTGAGAATGTGGGCACCAGTGGTAAGTTACCTTTAACAGGAAGAGGAGCACCCTGTCCACTGATGCCTAAGGAATGGAGCCAAAGATAGAGATGGGGTGAGGGACAGAACAGCTGAGGGAGATCATGCATTATGCCCTCACCGTGCCAGACGGGGGAGACAAGTGCAGAGGTCAAGATTTAAAAGGCCTGGGGAAGGTTAGGATTAGCCATTGGGTGTAATAGAAATGGAAGCTGACCAAGGGCTAATGAAAGGATCACAACTAGGGTGGCAGTGGGAGTCCAGCCGAGGACGGAGACCATAAATCTGTTGTAGCAAGGATGTTCATGGCCATATGGCTTTCCCTGGCAGCTCTCAGATACTTGGGTTATCAATAATGTTAGTTTTCCTTCCCTTGGATGGATAGGTGGATGCGTGATCATGTGAATAAAGGGTCAGACAAGTAAGGTAATATCAGAAATAAAATTCCACTGTGTATACTTCAAAGCTCAAAGCCTTTCAGTGTTTGGCCGTGAATGTAGAACAAAAGCCAGAATTCTAGACTAGAATTTTGGGGTTTCCAGCATAAAATGCTGACCTTGTCTTTCACTATATCCTTGCATGTATCACCACATTAGAGCCAAATAGGGCTTCTGTCCATTTTTTGAAGAATTTTTTCTTTCTCAATTTTCACCGCAGTTATTTTGCTTCTGCTGTCTACTCAGCCTGTACAATCCTACATCTTTACTTTTGAAATCATAACTATTTATTTATTTTTATTGCAGTAACATTGGTTTATAACATTCTATAAATTTCAGGTGTACATCGTTACATATTTTGATTCTGTGTAGATTACGTCATGTTCACCACCCAAAGATTACTATCCATCGCCACACACATGTGCCTAATCACCCCTTTTTCTCTCCCCCGTCGCCCTTCCCCTCTGGTAACCACCAATCCAATCTCTGTCTCTATGTGTTTGTTTGTTGTTGTTATAACTATTTATTAAAACTTAGTTCATTTGCTACCTGGTCTGTGAGCTATCTGTGCTTTTAACATGTATCATTTCTTGTTTATGCCACTTTTACATTACTTTTCATTTATTTTGTAATATTTTAGTTTCCACTAAATTTTAAATTCCTTGATGATAGGGACCACATATTTGTCCTCTTTGTATTATTTCACAGTGCCAACACAATGCTTTTTCTATAGTAAGCATGCAGTAAATATTTGCTGAACAGACATTGCATTACATATTTATACTAAGTAGCAAGATAGGAACTTCAAAAGAAAATAATGTTTTGCCTTTTCTATAGGTTAATTTTAAAGGTTTATTTTTAAATGTTATTTCATTAACCTCTTCTAATGTGAATGTTTTATCCCATAGGTATGGCATGAATTGCCTTATTCAGTTTGAAGACTTTGCCAATATAAATGCATTTCGTCTCCTGAACAAGTATCAAAACCAGTATTGCACATTCAATGATGATATACAAGGTAATAAAACTTTTATTGCATATAGATCGAGAACTTATTGTCCTGTAATTAGTTCATAATGGTATAATGCTTCAAATTCAGTAAGTATATGCTAGATATCTATGAAATGCCAGGGATTATTCTTGATGACTTAATGCATTATTTCTCGTTTAATTTCGTATATTTGAGGAAAGTACTCTATGACTCTAGAATGTACCATATTATCCATGAGCTAGAGAATGAGCTCCCTGAAATCTGTAAAATCCTCAGTGATTATGGCTAAACAGAGAATGAAATGTATGAAAATATATTGTTCATTGTTTAAAAATAAGAGCATAATACTGCTCTCTTCAGCCTTTATCTCAGTCAGCCACGATTTCTAAGCTTCACTCCAACAAAAGCTGCAGTGTATACAAGGTACTGCATTTTACTATTTGTCTTTTTTTTAATTGAGGTAACATTGGTTTATAATATTATATAAATTTCAGCTGTACATCATTATATTTCTGCAGTGTATACAATGTACTGCATTTTACTATTTTTCTTTTTATTGAGGTAACATTGGCTTATAACGTTATGTGAATTTCAGGTGTACATTAGTATATTTCTATTTCTCTGTAGACTACATCGTGTTCACCAAAGACTAGTTACTGTCCATCACCATATGCATGTGCCCTATTATCCATTTTGCCCTTCTCCCTCCCTGTTCCCCTCTGGTAACCACCAATCTAATCTCTATATCTATGTGTTTGTTGTTGTTGTTTTCTTCCACTTATGAGTGAAATCGTATGGTATCTGACTTTCTCTGTCTGACTTATTTTACTTAGCATAATACCCTCAAGGTCCATCCATGTTGTTGCAAATGGCAAGATTTCATCTTTATTTATGGCTTAAAAGCATTTCATCGTGTATATATTTTACATCTTCTTTATCCACTCATCCATTGGTGGGCACTTAGGTTGTTTCCAAGTCTTTGCTATTGTGAATAATGCTGCAATGAACTTAGGAATGCATATATCTTTTCAACTTAGTATTTCCATGGTTTTTGGATAAATATCCATAAGTTGAATAGCTGGATAATATGGTATCTCTATTTTTAATTTTTTGAGGAATCTCCATGCTTTTTTCCCTAGTGGCTGCACCAGTTTGCACTCCCACCAACAGTGTATAAGAGTTCCCTTTTCTCCACATCCTCTCCAACACATGTTATTTCCTGACTTGTTAATTATAGCCATTGTGATGGGCATGAGGTAATATCTCATTGTAATTTTGATTTGCATTTTCCTAATAATTAGTGATGTTGAACATCTTTTCATGTGCCTGTTGGCCATCTGTATATCTTCTTTGGGAAAATGTCTGTTCAGATCCTTTGCCCACTTTATAATTGCATTGTTTATTTTTTTGGTTGTTGAGTTTTATGAGTTCTTTATATATTTTGGATATTAACCTGCTGTCAGCTATATCAAACTAAAAAGCTTCTGCACAGCAAAGGGAATCATCAACAAAATGAGAAGGCAGCCTAACAATTGGAGAAGATATTTCCAAATCATATTTGTCTTTTTTTTTTTTTTTAGGAAGATTAGCCCTGAGCTAACATCTGCTGCCAATCCTCCTCTTTTTGCTCAGGAAGACTGGCCCTGAACTAACATCCATGCCCATCTTCCTCCACTGTATATGTGGGACGCCCGCCACAGCTTGGCTGCTAAGTGGTGCCATGTCTGCTGCCAGGATCCTAACTGGCCAACCCCAGGGCGCCAAAGCGGGATGTGTGCACTTAACAGCTGCGCCACCAGGCTGGCCCCTCATATTTGTCTTTAACTGACTGTAGATGCTTAGCTACCTGCTTTTGTCTAAGTAACCTGTTTGGTTTTTTTTTTCCCTCTTTAAGCCCTTCTTTTTCAGTCCTCTCTAGATCCACACCCATCGAACCCCTTCCTCCCATCTGAAGCCTTGCCATGAGAATCTTACTGATCCTGTTCCATTAAGGGCAGGTGGAGGGAAGTGCACAGGCAGAGATCCTAAGGAGGAAGACCATAATGAGTTTCAGCAATTTGAGAGAAGATCACAAATGGCTTCCATTTCACTAATTCCAGTGGCCACTTTTCAGTGTTTATCTTACTTGAATTCTCAGCAGCATTTGACATGGTTGACCTCACCTTCTTCCTTGAAATACTCTTTTATTGACTTCCATGTCACAGCACTCTGCTGACTTTCTTCCTACCTCTTTGGACTTTCACTTTTTTTTTTTTTCAGATTCATCCTTTTCTGACTAGCTGTTAAATGACAGAACACTTCAATACTCAGTCCCAGGCCCTTTTCTCTGTGTTCTATTGTATCCTATTAGATATATACTCCAAGGCCACACATTCCATTAACGGATTAATATCTCTAGCCCAGATGTCTTTGAATTCCAGGTCCGTATACCATTTGGTAATTTAAAATCTCCCCTTGGATATCTCAAAGTTATCTCATATTCAACCTCCCCAAAATCAAACTCTTATTTCCCCACCAAACTTGCCCTTCTTCCAGTGTTCTCCTTCTCAGTGAATTCCTCATACCTCTTCTTCACCTCTCCCTACCCACTACAGTCTGTCATTAAATCCTCCTGATTTTCTATCGTAAAGATCTGTGTCTTCCGTAGATTTTCCTCCATTATCCTAATGTAAGTTACTATCATCTCTCCTAAACAATGGATATTTTCCTAAGAAATCTTTCCGCATTTACTCTTGCTTCCCCTTCTTGTCTGTTCTCTGAGTAGTATTGCTACAATTTGCCAGATCTAGAACTAGGTGCTGAGGATTTAGTGGTGAACAAGCCAAGGTTTTCTTTTTGGTATAGATATCTAGTTATATCATCCCTTCCTCAGAATACTTTGATGGTTTCCCCCTGCAGTGGGGATAAAGATCAAAATCCTGAATTTGGCTAAAAATGCATGGTCTGATTCCTACCTCACTCTCCAGCCTTGTTATTTTTCCCATTCTAGCTATAGCAGCCTTTTTCAGGTCCAGAAATGAGCCAGGCTTCTTCCTATTACAGCGTCTATCCAAATGCTGATCCCTCTTCCTCGAATACTCTTTCCTCCCCTCTTCAGATCTCATCTCAGTCATGACATTCCTCAGAAAAATCTCCCAGATCCCCATGTCTAGGTCAAAGCTACCTATTATAGGCTTTCATAGCACTATTTATTTTTCCCTTGCGGCACTTATCACAGTAGCAGTTTTATATATTTATGTAACGTTAAAAATCAATGTCTCCCACCCCGCTAAATTTTAAGCTCTGTGAAGGGAGAGGACCATGTCTGATTTGCACATCACCGTATCCCTTATCGTTAACACAGTGCCTATTCCATGGAGGATACTTAATGTTAACGGGATGAATGAGTGTAATATGTCTAAAGCAAGGACTGGCGAACTACGGCTTATAGGTCAAATCCAGCCCACTGTCTGTTTTTGTGAAATTTTATTGCAACACAGCGTGTCCATTTGTTTATGTGTTGTTTATGATTGCTTTTTTTGCTGTAACAGCAGAGTTATGTCTGGAACAGACACCATATGATCACAAACCCTAAACTATTGACTATCTGGTCATTTATAGAAAGAGTTTGCTGAGCTCTGGTCTAAAGGATTGCGTTTGCAAGAGTTGGTGAGAGTTGAACTAAGGAGTTAGGTTGGCTGAAGTGGGTTTGCATTTTGGAGAGTTCACTCACACTGTTTGTGGTGTAGAGAATAGAGTGAATGGAGCAAATTTAAAGGCTGTTGTGGGGCTGGCCCCGTGGCCGAGTGGTTAAGTTCACGTGCTCCGCTTCAGTGGCCCTGGGTTTTGCCAGTTCAAATCCTGGGCGTGGACATGGCACCACTCATCAAGCCATGCTGAGGCGGCGTCCCACATGCCATAACTAGAAGGACCCACAACTAATAAATACACAACTATGTACTGGGGGCTTTGGGGAGAAAAAGGAAAGATAAAATCTTAAAAGCTGTTGCCTACATGATGATTGTGCCTTGTTCTAAAAAAATGCTGGTGAAGATAGAGAGAAATAGACAGATGATTGGTTGTTGATGGTTAAGGTGAGGAAAGAGCCAAGGTTAGAGCCTAGGTTTTTGCCTGGAAGAACTGGAGGAATGGCAGGGGGGTAACTGAGAAAGAGAACATGAGAGACATTCTAACATGTACATGTTAAGATCCTGGACTCTGGAGTCAGACTGATTTGCTTTGCCCCTTACTAGCTGTGGACTTTCATCGATTTACTTAACCTCTCTGAGTTTTAATTTTCTCATCTATAGTAGAAAATTATGTAATAGCCTCTATCTTTTTCTTTGAAACAAGGCATAGGACCAGAGGTTTGACGAGAATAAAGGAGGTCTGAGAGAAGTGCTGTAGAGAACTAGAGAGCCACTGACTGTGAAACCCAAAAGGCTTCAGTAACGGGTGCTGAGGATCCAGTTGAAATTGAATACCACAAGTATCTCATGACACCGGGCTGAGCAGCTTGAGTTCAAGAGCTTAGGAAAAGCCAAGGGTGAGATGGGCAGTTGGATTTATCTGTGCTGGATATTTTACTGTATTTGGTCAAAGAAAGAACGATGAGATAAGAGCTAAAGTTAAAGTGATGACCATAGCACTAAGCTGGTTAGGGAAGGAAGTGAAGATACAAGGATGGGTAAATAGCGCAAAAGGCCTAGATGTTCCCATGAGGTTAAAGAATAGAGATAATGAGGGTAATTGAATAAAGAACTGCAAAGGTAGGAGATTGTAACCCTAAGTTGAAGATACAATGTGTAATGATAAAGTGCCTTTGATGCCACAAACACAGGCTTTGTAGATCAGTGTCTCTGAGTCACTCATCAACTCAGTTTGCAGTGGTCTCTGAAAACACACCAGTCAACTGTTGATCAAATCTGTAATGTCCTTTCTTTAATATTCTGTATCTTTTGATTTTGTGGGTCCCACAAAAATGTCCATATATGTTAAAGACCAGTATTACATAGTTTTCAATAATTATACAGAATTAATAGGCATCA